CAGATATCTTACTTTCTGATATTTTTTACAAGTTTTACAAGTATACGAAAATATCATGTTTTTAAGGGAAAAGTACAAGATAAAGCTACGACACAAGAAACTTTTTACATGTCATTTCTCGCCTCTGACGTCAAACCCATGTCGCGCCGCGAGAGAACCGAGCCTTAAATGGATTTGTATCTTCATTTCTTTTTATCAAATAGAATTTACGAAGACTAAAAATCCGATGTCACAATTATCATGAAGTGACAAAACATCATAAGAAACATTATAAAGATTATGAGTTACAGAATAGATTGATATTATTTAGAAACAATGTTATGCCATCAACAACCAGCAAATGAATATCACCGCTAACCACAAAAATATCTTAGATAAGAATTGTTCTTCTTCATATTGTGGCGTGCCCCTAGGAGCTACAAATAAATAATTGCTATTATCAAAATATCAAATTATTTTTAAAAACTTAAGTATTCTCTATAAAAATGTTATACTAAAAACTAAAAAGATCTATCAAATCTACATATTACATTAAGAATAAAAAATTACAATAATGTTTATTAAGGAAACAAAAAATATGATTGTATATAAAAAAGCTTATGGTATATTTTATTACATATATTTAAATATATATAAAAAAAATACTACTGTACTATGAGGGGTCCTATTTTAATGAAAATAGTTGTAAATTTCCTAAATTTTATCATATAAAAAAATATTGCAAATAAAAATTTTAAGAGGAATTTATGATAGTGCTATTTGTTTGATCTTAAATAGCTAAAGATAGCATTTTTCAGAATGGAATTACATAATTTCTATGATCCCTCTACTTATTCTAGATATAAAGGTATTAAGGTACAATTCTTAAAGAAATCAATAATTTATAAGGTATTTTATTCTGACATATTACGATTTTACATTTATTTATTTCAAGAGGAATCATCTCCCTTTCGATTGTACCGTGATTCAATCTTTTCAAAATTGAATAACTATGATTTGTTTATATGTGATTTAAAAAATTGTAATTTTATTAAAAGTCCCAATTACAAAATTTACAAAAATTACAAAATTTACAAAATTACAAAAATTACAAAATTTTAATATTAAAAGTCCCAATTACAAAATTTACAAAAATTACAAAAATTTAAAAATTAACTTATTCTAAAATAATAATTAGAATTCAAAAAAAGTTTAACTAAAAATAGTATCAAAATATAATCAATCATAATAGACAAGAAATACAAAAATAGATACTTTGCTCTGATCAGGATTATGTATTCTATCTTAAACTTATAATACATTACCTGGGCTTGGTCGTGTTTCTCCAAAGTTAAAAGTCGATGTAAAAAAAGCAAACGGAAAAGTGCCAATGCCAAACGACATATAGGAACCATCGCCGAAACCAAAGCCGGGAAAGCCGACATTGGCTTCTGGCTCTGACCTTTGACCGGCTGGCCGTGGTGGCACGTTATTCCTAGAGTAAATCATATTATATGCAATCATATTTTATTGATTAAAACTATATTACATATGTAACATTTTGAAACAGAAATACTTCATTTGAAATATTAAAAATAAACCTAATTAAATTTATCCATCCAAATCTATGAATTATATAATAACACATATAACAATATATATCATGATATATTATTATTACATGTCAAAATTTAAAAAAAATAACAAATATAACAGAATTTATAAGAAACATGCAAAAATATACAAATATAAAAAAGCATAACTAATCTAAATTATAGGATTATAAAAAAATTCTAAAAAAAAGGGAGGGGAGAAAGAAAGAAAAAAATCGTTCATATTTGCACATTAATTTTCAACTTTGATGGAAAGATACAATACCTTGGATCTTCATGCTTTGTAGCTCCACGTCCGTACAATGGAATGACTTTATCTTTACTTATAGCAGCCTTACATACTGGACAGACCTGTCTGGTAGGTCTGGTTTCCAACCACTGATGCAGACAAGGCCAACTGCATTATTATATTATTCAAATTAATCTGTTTTACTATTTTACTATTTTACTATTTATTATTTTACTATCTGGTATAATATGTTATTATTAAATATTTACCAAAATAGATGACCGCACATACTGACTACTGCATCTTTTGCAGTATCTAAACAGATATTGCACTCGAACATCCTATCGTCTTTCTCTTTTTCTTCAGTAGAGCCTGCAGATCCTGATGCTTTGGATGGACCTGCTTGTTCCCTTGTTCGACTCATCCTTCAAGAATCAATATGTTCAAAAATTCATAAATATTTTTACGTTTTAAAACAAACAGCAAAATAATTACTTAACACTTCAATATAATTTAAAACACTATAATTTAAAAATTATTTGTGATTAATTGTAAGGTTAATTCAAAATCATACAATATGAGTAGAATGTATACATGGTCAAACATTTTTTTTTAATTTTAAAAACGATTTTTCAATCAAATCAAATACAATTTGTTTACTCATTGCATAATTATAATTATATTGTTTCAGTTAAATTATAATTATATTGTATATGTCTCAGATTATGATTTTCGAATAAATTACAAATAAGAATTCATAACTGGCAAAAATCAATGTACTTGAAAAAAATCATGAGATTATACATAATCATGAATTAATAAACAAAATATTGTTATAACCCACACACAGATTATGAATATGTTTGCAAGAATGTTGATTACTATGTGACTTTTAAACTTTCTTATGTATGCAAATATATGATATATGCATGCATGCAAATATATATGACATTCAACATATACATATATATATATATATATATATATGCATATGTATATATATATATATGTATATGTATATATATATATATATGTATATGTATATATATATATATGTATATATGTATAAAAATATATATGTACATAATAAGGTTAAAAAACAAACATGAGATAGGTAAAAGATATAAAATAACATTATTCCAATAATAAATATTCTAAAATTATTTCTAAAATTATTATTTAAAGTAATATTTTAGAATTATTCATCACATATATAGAAATTTGTATTCTATTTCTGAAATTGATATCAGAATATCAAGAATATCATCTAATATAATAAATTTACTTAAATCACCACATGTAATCACATGGATAAAAATATTATACAAAATCAAAACTGAATTTATATCATTTGCAAAATTTAAAATCTAAGCATTTAAGCGTTATTAGATAATAAAAATAAAAATTGATAATATGGTTAGACATGTGTACATACGTACAGCCATACAGTATATACATATGCAAAATCATCTTTACAATATATTATCTTTTTCAGTATTTAATATCAAATTAGATATTCTATAATTAACAAATTATTATTGCATCTGTTACTACATCTGTTGCATTTTTAGATCAGTTTGCTAAAAGATAAAGATAAATTTCCCTTCTTTATTATCTCATGGCCATTGTATTATTTTAAATATTTATGCATTACACATTAATAACTACACGTTAGACAGATTATTACATTTATATTATTCAATGTTTTTATAAATGTAATTTCATCATCAATCTGTTTCTGTCTTCTTTCGAAATGTTATTTTCCCTTCTTAGTCAATGGTTAACTCTCAAAATAATGAATCATTGTTTTTTCTGCATTTTATAACCTCATTATATTATATTGTTAATTCTGCATATAAACACATGTATATTTACCTATCCAATAACAAGTCACCGATTAATGATTGATTTAATTTTTTCTACTTCATTTTTAACTTGTTTACTTTTAATATCTTTACAGTTGATCGAACATCTAGTCATAAAAACAATCACTTTCTTTGCTTATACATTACATCATTCTTTGCTTACATATTACTCCATATTAACTTCTATATTTTTCTTATATCATTTAAAATTCAATTTATAACAAACATAATTTCTTTATATATTATCCAATTTCCTTTCTAAATTCTTTCCCAATAATTTTATGTATTCCGTTGCAAAAAATATTCTCTCTCTTTCTTTCATTCTGTCTCTCTCTTTCTCTCTTTCCTTACGTCATTCTATTACCAACCATTCGCACATTTACACATCATCTAATTCTTAATTATCATCAACATAACCTTCCTATATTTAATTTCATTTCAGATTTATTCCTACTTCCCCTTTTTTAAATATATTTTATTAATTATTTACATGTCACTCTTTCTTTTTCCTCTCTCCTTTTCACAATCATATATATGGACCCGAATGAAAATCGCGTCACTCACTTTCTGTCGGGAGGGCGGGCTTAACCCTCTTGCGAGACAAAGTTGCGACTCCTCGTTTGTGATAAAACGACACAAGAATCGACGCAAATCGAACAGATATTCGTTTTCTCGTGCTATCAGACGGCGACGATCGGCGAATGTATAACGTGCTACGTACATACAAGACACATGATTTCTTAAACAAGATATTGGATTGGCGAATGACAGAACGAAACAGAAAGAGAAAGAGAGGAAACGAAAGGGGAAAGAGCAAGAGAGATGTAGGGCGATGGCGGTAAATCGATCGATGTCCTTTACCCGCGAAAAATCAACTATTAACAACGCAATGAATTTTACATGATCAATAATTGCGAAGACTGATGACAGATAAAGTATATGATCAGCATTAATGAAATATACAAATCTATTTTTTTGAATAAACTTCTTGCATACATTATCCATCTTCTTTTTTTTTCCGTATTGAAGAAAAAAAAAGAGAAAAGACGAACGAAATTCAGTTAAAAAGATGAGACCTTATGATAACAAAAATATTTAGAAATATATTAAGATACATTTGAATAAATTATGCTGCATCTTAATTATTTATACAAAAAATAAGATTATTTTTTCTAAATAGGTGATTACATTTTTGGTATTATTTTTTCATTTAAGATTTAAATAATCTGTATACGAACAAATAAATTGCGTAATATGATGAAATAAAATAAATGCAAACGTTTCTCATTATGATAAGAGGCCTGTTTTTCATTGTTGTTTCATTGAATTTCTTATATCGTTTATATTGTCTCCGCGAAAGAAGAAAAAGAAAGATGAATCAAAAAAGAATAAGCTTAAAATCTTATGTCCACGATGCTAAAAATCGATCCGAGATTTAGAACCGAAGAAAAATTGCCTGATAAGTAGTGATAAGTAGATTGTAATGATTGTTTGATCAATTGATTAATATGATTGATCAATTTTTCCTTCGTTCGAGATCTTCGATCTTTAGCATGGACACATAGCTTAAGATTAAGGTGCTTTCTATTTAGTGACATAAATCAATATAAACATCATTCTACTTTGTTGATATTTAATGATAAAACGATATTTATATTGATTTGTGTCATTGAATGCAAAGCATACTTATGAAAGAATGTTTCATTTGTCCACGTCTCAATTAGATACATTTCAATTAGATTCGCATTGACCAGTGCTTAGAAATTTTCTAATAGATCACCAATTAGAAGATAATGGCTGCGTTCAACAGAAAGAGTACCTTTGCGATTGTTGTAAAATTCTTTATTATGATTTTTACGCTTAGATCTCCACAGTTCTAAATGTATAAACCAATTATAATAAAGAATTTTACAACTGTTGCAAAGCTGCTTTTTCTGCTGAACGCAGCCAATAGGTACTTTATATTATGGTATACAGGCTAATACAGAACAACCTCGGATTCTTGTAAGCATATTCCTAATTGAATTCTGAAACAATTTTTCCTTTTGTAAAATTTTGTCCGAAGCTTAATTTTAAAGTTATAAAAGAAAATAGTTAGCCAATTACGAATTGAATAGAAAAGGTAGGCAGGAGCGGCGCAAGAGTATCCCTTTTCAAGGATCCGAAATTGTTTTGAATAACTCTATATATGCTATAGAGTTTTCGTATACGATATGTTTCAAAGTTATATTCCGAGAAAAATTTTATTCGTTGATTATTTCAAAACTTCATAAAACTTTATGTTTGGTCCATTCCAAGAACTCATTGAGTAAAATTTTCTTCGAGAAGACGATTTTGGAATGTAGTCCAAGAGTGGCTGAGCTTATGTTTTAGTGCAGGAATAAATTTAGAAATAATATCCGATTGCACTCGGATATCATTCTATCCTTATTTAATATTCGATGAGTAACAAGGATAAAATGATATATCCAATGTTTCTAAAGCCAATGATGGATATTGCATTAATGTACCAATTGTAGACTGAGCTTTATGGCATGCGAAGAGAAGGATGATGAAAGGTAGATGCGGTCCAATGGGGGATCGACTTCTCTTTCCCCGGGCAATGGTGTTACAAGCCTCTGATGTCAAAGCTTGTAGTGACGTCAGAGAACGCGTAACGTAAACGGGCAAGTGTGTTTACAGAAAAATAGAACTTAAACCTGCTCGTGAACTTGAATTTGATCGTCGTCGCAATGTAGCTTTGGCGCGCGGACAATTGCGAGTCGAGCGGATGGACGGGCGATCGGCAACAATGACGATATCACTGTCTCTCTATCAAACGCAATCGATACTCGGAGGCCATGAAACGCGATAACGACGTAATGAGACCTAAATTTAAGCGTTTCATCAAGCTGATGCGCATTAAAATGCACGGCAGTGCCTTACACTCGCGAAAGAACAGTGGTTCGAGTTGTACAGGAGACTAACTGCAGACTATCGGTACATGGATTTTTAACGCGTTCCGCTGCATTCATTTCTGAAAGTTCGAGAAGCCGCACGAATGGAGCCATGTATTATCCGACCGATCAGAATGGTTGATATTCGTGAGCGTAGGGACCTGAGATTTTCGCATCGGCGACTTTTAAGTGATTATTACGCGACCGCTGATTCTCATTGTGTCAATTTTAACATTTTGGATAACAGTGGTGGCAAAAGAAGAAAGGGTGAAGGTAGAAAGAAGGGGTAAGTGGAAGGGGGAGATGAAGTATGGGCAGTGAAGAGGTCAAGGTAATAGGTGGGAGGGGAAATCATATTGTGAAAATTGCTAGCGGTACCGGTGCCTTGCTGACCTTCAAAAGCTGTACATTGTCAGCTCCTAACACAATCTTGTTTTGGAGCTTGCAGGAAGTAGGTCAAGTTCGCACATCACAAATGCATATTGCAGTCAGATGAACAGCTGTCAAGAGTGAAAAGTTTCATCACTGACGCAGCTCAAGAGAAATCTAAAGGGTAAAAAAAATAGAATAAGAAAATATAAACTATCCTATTTTCTTTTTTATTATTTTATTTTTACATATTACAGAGAAGGATATTATATTATATTGCTGTATTTGAAATAAAGAACAGAATGACAGTTATAGATGATGAATATTTTGATAAACAGGAGTATGTTGTCATGTGTTGCATTCCGTATGTTATCATGTGATTACAGCAATTCAATGCAGTACGTGAGTACGTGTAAACTACAACGAGAAGTACAGCGAAGGAGAGTACCATTGTACACATGGTGAGATAATGATCATATAAGTAAGATAAAGAGGAAAGTACGAGAGAAAGAAACTAAGAAGAAATAAAAAGAAGAGTAGGAAACCGGAAAATTAAGAAAAGAAAATTGAGCAAAATACCGGGATTAAGAGGCTTACTAAGAGGCGCGTGTGGGTGCTTCCAAAATAATGACAATGAAGATAGGAAGTACTCCTCAAATAAAGACAAACAATCCTCAATTGCAGATGATCTTATCAAAGCATCTCAATATATGGCAGCGAAGACCCAGGATGCTATCCAAAATAAGAAGATGACGGAACCCGAAAAACTTGATGAATTTGATGAATCTGATGAATCAGATGAATCTGATGAATATGATGAATCCGATGATTCTGATGATAGTTTAGAAATCGTAGACCTGACAGTCCAATCAACGTCGATAAATTATCCGACATCACAATTCAACAAGTGGCACAGGGAAACTCAGGATGTTATTCAATATGATAATAGGATGACTGAACTTATCGAATTCGATAACAATCTAGAAAATGTAGACTTGGCAATCCCATCTACATCAACAGCAAACTATCCGCCATTCAAGAAATGGCACAGACAGACTCGAAATGTCATCCAAGGTGAAAATAGGATGACTGAGTTTTTTGAATATAATAATAGCTTAGGAAATGTAAACCTAGCAATTCCATCTACGTCAACAACAAATTATCCGCCATATCATTTCGATAAATGGAACAGAAAAACTCAAGATGTTATTCAATATGAAAATAGGATGACTGAGCTTGTTGACATTGATAACAACCAAAAAATTGTAGATTTAGCAGTACCATCAACATCAGTAGCAAGATATTCGCCATTGCAATCTAAGTTGCAATACAGAGAAACACAGGCTTTTGTTCAAAATGAAAATAGGATATCTAATCTGGTTGTCGACACTAGCCTAGAGATTGTAGACATGGAAACGTCAAGAGCAAGTTATTCACAATTCAAGATGTTAGACAAAGAGGCTTACGATGCTGTCCAAGACAAAAATAAGTACGATGAAATCCTAGAGGTTGTACGTGTGACAATTCCATCCATATCATTAACAGAACTTCGGTTGTTAAAACCTAGCATTCTACAACAAAAGTTAATTTTTGAGATAGAGAACATAGGACGTATTATGAAAGTTGTACAGACTCAAGTCAATCGCTGGTTAGTTATTATAGATGAAAAAAAATTTCCAGAAAAAGAATTTCTACAGGAATACTTGGCTGGAGCGGATAAATTACACGAATTGCAATGTAAACAAATAAAGCTTAAAAGCGTACAGGAAGAAATACAAAAAAAGGAGGATTTAAAAAGATTAGCTAAAGAAACTTCAAAGACTCCAAAAATATTATTGGTACACTTTCCAAACAATCAACATACCATTGTACGGACAAAAAAAGGATTAACATTAAGGAAAGCAGTAGCCAAAGCTATGGAACGTCGACAGTTAACTACAAATGATTGCGCAGCTTATATTACTTGTCGCATTTCATATTTTATTTCTTGGGACACAGATATTTCGACTTTGCAATGTAAGGAGGTATTTGTGGAAACATTGGAGGAATTTCCTGTTCCAATTTCGGCTTATCATAATTTTGTACGTAATACTTTTTTGTTAAGTTACTGTTGTATTTGTAAAAAGAGACTTTTTTATGGATTCCATTGTACAACTTGCAATAGAAAAATTCATAAAAAATGTAGAGCTTATGCACCTGCACTCTGTGAACGAGTAAAAAGATGGAGAGCTTATTATCAAAGATTATTAGCTAATAATGCTGCCGGAACTTTACAAATTCGTAGCGAAGGAAGAAGCACATCTTCAACCTCTTCAACTCCTCAGCCATCGAGAAAACAAATGCAAAAAGACTCTACATCCACATCGAATACTGCTATAAACAGGATTTCTGGATTTTCACAAATATATAAGAAAATAGAAAATTCAGTCTCTCAAGGATTATTTAAGAAGTGGAAGCAAAGACCAAATAGTAGCTCGGCTGAACCAATTGTTGGTCATTTAGTTGCCTCGACAAAAATGGATGAAAATAGTCGAATAAATTTAAAAGCGAAACAAACAAAACTTAATAATTCTGATGACACTATCAATCAATCAATGCAGGACATTGAAAGTAATCAAACTGATTCAGAAACAGAGTATACAAGATCTCATGATACTGTAAAACAATCGTTAAAATATGATGGAGATGCTCAAAGTGATTTAGAAACGATGCAAGAAAAATCGAATGACTCTGTAAACCGAGACACATTAATTAATTCTGCTGCAAAAAGACATGACAAAAGACGTGATAAGCGTGATAAGAAACATAATAAAAAACGTGCAAGACATACATATGATACAGATCGTGCAGAGTCTGATGGTTCTGAAAAAAGTATTTTTAGTAAAAATGATTCTATTAAAGATTGGAAAATTTCACCAAAAGAAATTTCATTTGGATCACGTATTGGGCAAGGCGCGTTTGGAACTGTTTATAAGGCTGATTGGTACGGACCCATTGCAGTTAAAACATTAAATGTTAAAATTCCAACAGAAGAACAAAAAAATACTTTCAAAAATGAAGTAAATGTTTTACGTAAAACCCGACATAAAAACATTTTGTTATTTATAGGTTGTATCAGTAAACCTCATTTTGCAATTATTACGCAATGGTGCGATGGTTCATCTTTGTATGATCATTTGCATATTAAGGAACACAAATTCGATCCACTAATAATAATTTTTATCTGCAAAGAGATTTCCGAAGGTATGGAATACTTACATTCCAAAGATATTTATCATAGGGATTTAAAAAGTAATAACATATTT